GAGGAGGAGTTCAGTTGACCTAAGATGTCCTCCAGGTCTTTGCTGTTAATAGGGTGAAACTGTTTCATGGTGTTTAAACAGGTTTTCGGTGGACACAGTACATATCCTGGATATTAAGGATATTATTAAAGGTGGTATTTTACATCAGTCATTGAAACTCCTCACAAATATTTACCGTGTCCTCCTAGCTGGCATCGGCACTGAAACAGGAAGATAAGAGTAACTAAGGCTCCACAGAGCTTCCTTCTGAGGATTTATAAAGGACAGTTTTTGTAGTTCTTTACTGGATTCACACTGTGAGTGAAGTGCAGACTCGCAGCTTTAGCGGGAGGGTTTAAATAAGGTCGTGACACACACAGTCCCTCATTTTCAGAGGCTCATTGATTGTGACGCGCCATGTTTGTGTCGCAGAGAGAATGTGATCGAGTCCCAGCGGAGCCGCATGGAGGAGCTGGAAGGTGCATCGGAGCTGCTGAGGGAGGAGCTGAGGAGGAAGGAGGCCGAGTATGAAGAGAGACTCCTGCAGGTCCGGCAGGAGCAGAGCTCCAAACTGAGGTACGAGCTGCTGGTTTTAAATACGAAGCCTTCAGTAAAGCTGAGCGGCGCCTCGTTCTGATGTTTCCTGTTATTTCATCAAAAATATCGTTTATGTTTGAGTAAATGAAAATCCATCTAAATAAAACCAGTGAGAATATTTTGGTCTCAGGTTTTTGTTGGAGGGGAGCACCAGAACCTGTTTCTCTTTCAGTCCAACAGCTTTCACCGTATCAGGGCAGAAGATGAGCTCGTGCTGTGGCGAGGCGTCCGTCATTCACAATAATCGCTTTCTGTGGTCACCTCTTCACTCGAAGCTGTGCTCGAGGTCGAGGTTGTGGATGAATCTTTGTTTTTTCCTGTCAGGACGCACGTCAACAGCAACGTGACGCTGATCAAACTGCAGAAGCAGCTGGCGGTGAGATCCAACACCGTGGCCGAGCTGGAGGGGCGATATCTGCAGCTGCAGGAGGTGAGACGTTTCCCGGCCTCCTCCTCTTCCTCCTCCACCTGAAACCCTGCAGCACCAAGATCAACATCCAGTAATCACTACTGATCTTCTCTGTCTGTGAGAGAACAAATTATCGCACTTTTCTATGCAACGCTGTGACTTCAAGCGCAATCAAATCCCTCTGCAGCCAATCAGGAGAAAGATTTCTTAAGAGGGGAGGGGCTTGATTCAGTGCACAGCATTGTTTTAAACTGTGAATCATGCAGATGAGTAGGGACGAAACACCAGAGCTGGATATGATGAGCTCAAAGATCATGTGACTAACCTCCCGTTTATAATTCCACCTTATGGCACTGACACACATCTGCAGACACAGCTGGCCTGACGAGATCAACAAGACCAGGTGTCAGGTGTGTACACAGAGCGAGCTAACAGCGGCGGCGTTTGTTTTGCAGAGTCAGCAGACGCTTAAGCTCAGTCATGAAGCGGCGATGGCGAAGGTGGACGAGCTGTCGGCGGATCTGAAAAACGAGCGGCTGAAGCGCTTGGAGCTGGAGAAGCAGCTGCAGAGTGCCAGCGTCTCCAGGACGAGGATGGAGCAGGTGAGCCCGAGTCCGCTGTAGGGGTGTGCTGCTGTGCAGGTGTGGTGGCTCACCTGCCTGTGTGTGCGTTCAGCTGCAGGAGAGGATCGGCGAGCTGGAGCAGGACAGAGACCTGCTGAAGGACAGCAACGAGAAGCTGCTGAACAGGTGAGCAGAAGGAGGCGAAGACACACCGCGGTGCTGTGAGGGCCGTTTGTCCATGAACGTTTCAGTCTTACCTGGCCCAGGTTGACCTCCGTCACCTCCTCCTTTCGTTGCAGCGCCTTTGACGTCTCTCAGCAGGAGAAATGGCAGCTTCAGGAGCAGCGGCTGAAGCTTCAGATCTCTCAGCTGGAGACGGCGCTCAAGGCCGACCTCGTCGACAAAAACGAGATCCTCGACAAAGTCAAGGCCGAGAGAGGTACACGTACGCCCCCTACCTGCCCAGTAAGACCGCTCCGTGTCCCGTGAGAGCGCCGAGGGTGAATGTGGCGACCAATTTCCTCCCTCTGATTGTTTTTCAGACACAAACGAGAAGCTGAAAGAAGCAAATCAGAAGCTGGAGGTGCAGTTCCTGCAGCAGAAGCAGCAGCTGGAGGAACTGAACGAGCAGCTCGAGTTTTACAGTCGGGTGAGCAGATGAATCAAATCCTCTCGCCTGCTGCAGGTTTGGTGTGTGTGACATCACCGTGCTCTTCACAGGGGAGCGACTACGACGTGGCCGAACTCACCGAGGCGCTGCTGCTCGTCAAAGTGAGTGCCCGTCACACGCCGCTGCCGTCGTTACTGCGATCATACACAGCCCAGATTCAGTCTCACGTCTCGCCTTTTGTCTGTAACATCATCGTCTATCAGACACGTAAATCCCAGAGGAGTGGAGATCTGGACTTCCTGAGGGAGGCGGAGGAGGAAACGGGCGGCACCAGCATGGAAAACGCCATTAAGGAGCTGCGAGCCGCTCACGCCGAAACCATCCAGGAGCTGGAAAAGACTCGCAGCCTCCTGAGCACGGAGAGCCGGATCAGCCAAGGCTACAAGGTGGAGCAAACACACCCGCCCACTTTTATTCTTACTGTATGTAAAGCAGCAAGGGGAGGGGTCAGAGTGGAACCTGATCACGTTTGTTGTGCTGAGCAGAATCTATTTCCCTTCTTGTGGCCGCAGGCCGAGCTGGACGCCGCGCTACGCAAGATGGACGCCGACAAACTCGAGTACGAGCAGAAGCTAGAACGCCAGGCTCAGCTGCTGGACGCCAGGGCAACGAAGATCAGGAAACTGGAAGGTTCCCGCCCACCCAAGCATCCATCCAGTTCTCCTGCTGATGTTCAGTTTAAAGAATAAATGAACCGTTGATGATGAGGTTTCTCTGCTCCGCAGCTCAGCTCAGAGACATCGCCTACGGGACCAAAACCTACAGCGTCAAAGCGGACGCCACAGCCGAGGACGACGAATCTGGTGAAGCGCTTCACCTGGAGAGTGGAGAAAACCTGCTGGAGCTTCAGATAGTAGGCGTCACGCTGTCTGGCTCTGCCCTGCAGATGCTGGGCGAAGCTGAGCCCGCCACCTTCTGTACGTACGCCTTCTACGTGTTCGAGCTGCACGCCACACCGGTGGTGACGGGCCGCAGTCCGAAATACAACTTTACTTCTGAGTACGTGGTTAGCGTGGACGAACGCTTCCTCGACTACCTCCACCGGGGCGCGGTGAGGGTGGAGCTGCACGAAGCGCTCGGTCTGGACTGGAGGACGCTGGCAGCCGGCGAGCTTCGTCTGCAGCAGCTGCTGGAACAGGACGGGAAGGTTCACGGCAGCGTGGCGCTCGTCGGTGAGTCATTGGTCTGTGGGGGGAGGGAGAGACTGACATAAGCACAGACTGACAGACAGCCAAAGAGCTGCTCGTGTAAAGGCTCAGGCTCACTGACAGAGTCCATGTTTCATTTGTCACACACACAGACACACACAGACACAAGAACAACACTGAACAGGTGCAGACCGACAGCGAGCAGTGAAAAACCGTTACCGGGTGCATCACTAAAGTACATTATTTTGTTATTAAGTGCATGAGCAGTGTAGAGAGTCCAGTCCAGCACCACTCGGTGTGGACACACTGCAGGGAGCTCTGAGCGAGCGGTGCATCCAGCAGAGCGCACCGCTCTTTGGAGAGCTCGTCTATCCCGGTGCTGTTCCTCCACCTTCAGAGGGAGGTGGAGGTCTGAGGAAGAAGAGACGCTTCTTTAAAAAGATGTTTAGCGCCATCTGCTGTCAGTACGGAACATGACGTCATGAGTTTGGTTGGTTGTGGCTAGCAGACTTAACATAAACTAATGTGAGTCTGTTAGCTGCAACCAACCACATGACGTTACATCTAATGTAAATTAGCCTTTATAAGGGGAGCGCCTCATGTCCGCTCTAAGCTCAAATATGTACAAGGTGAGAGTAGGGCCGAGGACACAACCTGGATATTTACCTTCCCGTGTGTCATGAGGGGCCGTGTGACCCGCGAGCCAGCTCAGTGACGGCCGGATCCACGCGGTCTGTGGGCTGGCGGCTGTACTTGACGATGACGGTAGACTCGGCGACTGTCGGTGATGCTTGATGAAAACGCGTCGTCAGATGAACGTTCGTGTGCAAACCTCTTTCAGGGTCGCGTGATGAGGCGCGCTGCTTCGGCTCCTTGGAGTTCTGGCTCAGGCTGAGGGTGCCCATGACGGAGACGCTGCGACTGTACCGAGAGAAGATGAAGGCGGTGAGCTTCATCATCACCCGTCATCACTCAGATACACGAGCAGGAGGATACACCCACGGTGTACACACACCTGAGCAGGTGAAGGTTCTCACTCGTGTTGTTTCTCCTCAGCCTCCGCCAACGACCGGCGACTGGAACGAGCTCTTCATCACCGTCCGCCGCTGCTCCGGCCTTCAGCCGCGAGACTCCTGGCAGCCGAGCCCCTATGTCGTCTACAAGTTCTTTCACTTCCCCGACCATCCCACCGCCACCGTTCACAACCGCCAGGACCCCGACTTCCATGACCTCAGGTCGTACTCCGTCTCGATGGATGCGGACCTGGACCGGTACCTGAAGTCGGAGCTCCTTCAGTTCTACGTGTTCGACTACAAAGAGAAGCAGATGGACACGTACCTGGGGAAGGCCCGAGTCCCTCTGAGGACGCTGACCCACGACGAGAGCCTCACAGGTGAGTCAGGTGTTTGTAGCACACTGTTCGCCTGCAGGTGCAGCTTCAGTGTTCAGCTGCAGCGTGACCTGTTAAAATGGGGTTCTTTTTCACCGTCATTACCTGAACATGGACATACACACTTTACACTGGTTTTAAATAAACTGGACAGGAAATGTTTTTATTTTTAGCTCCTGATGAAGGCTCCAGGCTTCTGTTTGAGTCGATAAAACATCGAAAAGTGTTTTAATGGTTTAAACTTCTTAAATCTAAAGTTAACCAAACGCCTCACACTGCTGCTGTCTGAGGAAATGTTTCAGGATCAGCTCGATGAGGTGTGAGTGAGCACGTGTAACCTGCTCTGCTCCCTCAGGTGTGTTTTCGCTGGCCGATCCCTCTGGACTCCCCGCCGGGAACATCGAAGTGACTCTGAAGTGGAAGGTCTCCTACATCCACCCGGTGGACGCCATGGAGGACGAGCCCAGGTTTACTCCTGTGGAGGAAGCATCAGAGGCCAAACAACAGCCGGAGGGCAAGGAGGCCCGCCGCTATCGCGCCGAATCTCAGGTCAGGTCATCCAGATGACCCAAACATAAATGATAAATTTAATAATGGCCTGAAAATGTTTTCGATTTTTTTCTCCTTTTCTGCGAATTTAAACACAACAATCGAGCGATTCCCATAATTCCCTGAGGAGCCTGTTCCTCCTGAAGGCTGTGGCCTTCCTGTGGCTTCAGCAGATGTTCACCTGTGACTCGGTCCAGGTGTGCTCTTCCCTCACCTCTCTGGATGCTTCCCCCTTCAGGCCCCGCTGCCCAAACCAAGACTGAAGACTCAGGTGAAGGGAACGCCACCTGCCAAAAAAGTCACGTTTGTAGAAGGGACGGCCGCCAACCAACAGGTGAGAGGCACTGCCTCTGTCAGGTGATCAGAGAGGGAGGAGTTTACCTGCAGCTCAGCAGGTGCATTCAGGGATCAGGTGGAGATCGGATAAAACAACACGTGGAGTTTGATGTTTTTCTGTTTTTCCTTCTTTCAGCTGGACGCGTCGAGCTCAGCGGCCCGGGAGGCGGAGACTCTACCTGCAGCACCTGTACAGGTAACCTGCACACACACACTCCAGGTAGAAACCATCACCCCAACACTCGTTAAAAACAGGTTTGACCTTATAAGGAATCAATAATTAATGGTTTACCTGCATTCCCTACCTGTCCTCACCTGTCCCCCACCTTTTTTCAGGTTTTGTCCAAAGGTGCCGGAGAGGAAGAGGACGATGAAAGAGAGTCTGACATCTCTGAAGGACAGCTGGTCACAGGGAGCGCTGCGTCGTACTCTGATGACTCTGAAATCTCTGAGGAAATCATCGAAGGTCCGTATCAACTATGGGACTCGCCCACAGTCGATCATTGTGTTTGAAACATGCACAACATTTTCTGCCTCTTGTTAAATGTGTGACGTGTCCCACACTGAAGCTCATCCACACCAATAAAAACGGAGAATCATTAGAAAATGTGCTAATTATGACATCGTCACTGAAATCATGACTGAAAACTATAAACGAAAAAAATAAAAGTTAAAAACTGATCAAATATAAACTCAAGAAAATAATTCAAATTTAAAGCTGAAATAGTTTAAAGTGCAAAAACTCAGAACTTATCTAAAAACAAGTTTACAGAGAAAAACATCAAACAAACAAAACGTGAGAAGAATTGTGACAAATTTGTGGTTTAAACGGTGAAAAGAGCAAAAGTGTCGACGCTGGTTTCTTCTTCTTCCTGTCCCAGATGTGGAGGACGTCCCAGCAGCTGCAGAGGCTCAGTCTGACAGCGATGACTGCATCGTGCCCGGAACGGCCACGGCGAGGAAGGTGACGAGGAGGAGCGCGCGTGTGTGTGTGCGTGTGTGTGTGTGTCTGTGTGTGTGTGTGTGTGTCTGTGTGTGTGTGTGTGCTGTGTGTGTGTGTGTGTGTGTGTGTGTGTGTGTGTGTGTGTCTGTGTTGTGTGTGTGTGTGTGTGTGTGTGTGTGTTGTGTGTGTGTGTGTGTGTGTGTGTGTGTGTGTGTGTGTGTGTTGGTGTGTTGTGTTGTGTTGTGTGTGTGTGTGTGTGTGTGCTGTGTGTGTTGTGTGTGTGTGTGTGTGCTGTGTCTGTGTGTGTGGTCGGTGTGTCTGTGTGTGTCTGTGTCTGTGTGTGTGTGTGTGTGTGTGTGTCTGTGTGTGTGTGTGTGTGTGTGTGTGTGTGTGTGTGTGTTGTGTGTTGTGTGTGTGTTTGACTGTGTGTGCGTGTGTCTGTGTGTGCGTGCATGTGTAACATAATTATAAAGCTGTTTTCTTGCCGCCGTTCACTTCCTGTTTTCACTTCCTGTCGTATTGATCATAAGAATATCTGCATCATGGATGATTAACACTCATAGATGATGTAACCATCCTGTGGTTAAATAACCTCGCCCCGCCCTCCTCAGGTATCGGAGCGAGTGCGGGTGGAGATTGTGTGTCTAAGCCTGAGGGCGGAGTCTCAGGTGGCACGGGACAGCAGCGTGGTGCGGCTCTTCGTCGAGTACTCCTTTCTGGACCTGCCCACGGAGGAAACGCCGCTGTCTCTGCCCAAACCGCCACTGGGCCGCAGCATCAACTACAACTACAGCAAAGGTACACACCTGCACAGGTGCGCTCAGACACTGCACCAATCACGGCAACGGCTTCTGCTCTCAGTTTGTGACCTCACTGTCTGTCCACAGTCATCCCCGTGGACGCTGAGAGGAACGCGGCGAGGAGGCACCTGCTGAGGGGAGTCCTGCAGGGACGAAATCCTCACATGGAGAGGTGAGGAGGGGGAGGAGTTCACTGAACACAGACTCAGAGCAGCTGCTTCTTCTTCTGACTGCAGACAGCGTCCGTCATGCTCTGCTGTGATTGGCTGCTGCCAGGTGTTAGAGCCCCAGTGTTGGTGTCCAGGCTCTTTGTAATAGGTCACAAACAGCTGCTGTAAAGCAGTCACCTGATCTACAGGCCGATCGTGGCTCAAGAGTTGGGAGTTCGTCTTGTAATCGAAGGTTGCCGGTTCGAGCCCCGGCTCGGACAGTCTCGTCGTTGTGTCCTTGGGCAAGACACTTCACCTACTGGTGTTGGCCAGAGGGGCCGATGGCGCGATATGGCAGCCTGGCTTCTGTCAGTCTGCCCCAGGGCAGCTGTGGCTACAACTGTAGCTGCCTCCACCAGTGTGTGAATGGGTGGATGACTGGTGTGTAAAGCGCTTTGGTGCTAGCGTTGAAAAGCGCTATAATAGCAATACCATTTAAATTACTATCTACAGGGTGGGCCATTTATATGGATACACCGTAATAACATGGGAATGGTTGGTGATATTAAAGTCCTGTTTGTGGCACATTAGTATATGTGAGGGGGCAAACTCCTCAAGATGGGTGGTGACCATGGTGGCCATTTAGAAGTCGGCCATCTTGGATACAACTTTTGTTTTTTCAATAGGAAGAGGGCCATGTGACACATCAGACTTATTGGTAATGTCACAAGAAAAACAATGGTGTGCTTGGTTTCAACGTAACTTTATTCTTTCATGAGTTATTTACAAGTTTCTGACCACTTATAAAATGTGTTCAATGTGCTGCCCATTGTGTTGGATTGTCAATGCAACCCTCTTCTCCCACTCTTCACACACTGATAGCAACACCCAGGAGAAATGCCAGCACAGGCATCCAGTATCCGTAGTTTCAGGTGCTGCACATCTCGTATCTTCACACCATAGACAATTGCCTTCAGATGACCCCAAAGATAAAAGTCTAAGGGGGTCAGATCGGGAGACCTTGGGGGCCATTCAACTGGCCCACGACGACCAATCCACTTTCCAGGAAACTGTTCATCTAGGAATGCTCGGACCTGGCACCCATAATGTGGTGGTGCACCATCTTGCTGGAAAAACTCAGGGAACGTGCCAGCTTCAGTGCATAAAGAGGGAAACACATCATCATGTAGCAATTTCAAATATCCAGTGGCCTTGAGGTTTCCATTGATGAAGAATGGACCCACTATCGTTGTACCCCATATACCACACCAAACCATCACTTTTGTTGTTCCAACAGTCTTGGAGGGATCCATCCAATGTGGGTTAGTGTCAGACCAATAGCGGTGGTTTTGTTTGTTAACTTCACCATTCACATAAAAGTTTGCCTCATCACTGAACAAAATCTTCTGCGTGAACTGAGGGTCCTGTTCCAATTTTTGTTTTGCCCATTCTGCAAATTCTGTGCGATCTGGGTCATCCTCGTTGAGATGCTGCAGTAGCTGGAGTTTGTAAGGGTGCCATTTGTGAGTAGCTAATATCCGCCGAAGGGATGTTCGACTAATGCCACTCTCCAGTGACATGCGGCGAGTGCTACGCTGTGGGCTCTTGCTGAATGAAGCTAGGACAGCCACTGATGTTTCTTCATTAGTGACAGTTTTCTTGCGTCCACATTTTGGCAAATCCAACACTGAACCAGTTTCACGAAACTTAGCAAGCAGTTTGCTAACTGTAGCATGGGAGATGGGTGGTCTCGTAGGGTGTCTTGCATTGAAATCTGCTGCAATGACCCGGTTACTGCGTTCACCAGATATCAACACAATTTCGATCCGCTCCTCACGTGTTAACCTCTTCAACATGTCAATGGCTGTGAACAAAGAGAAACTTGTAAATAACTCATGAAAGAATAAAGTTACGTTGAAACCAAGCACACCATTGTTTTTCTTGTGACATTACCAATAAGTTTGATGTGTCACATGGCCCTCTTCCTATTGAAAAAACAAAAGTTGTATCCAAGATGGCCGACTTCTAAATGGCCACCATGGTCACCACCCATCTTGAGGAGTTTGCCCCCTCACATATACTAATGTGCCACAAACAGGACTTTAATATCACCAACCATTCCCATGTTATTACGGTGTATCCATATAAATGGCCCACCCTGTAGAACAGCCAGAGTCCAGGTGCTGGCGTCCAGGTGCTGGCAGGCTATGCTAACGGGACCGTCCTTTCCCAACAGAATCCGGTTCACAGTGGTGAGCGAGCCTCCAGAGGAAGAGGAGCAGGAGAGGGAGTGTGAGGATGTGGGCGTGGCCTTCCTGAGCATCCCTGACATCCTGGAGAAACAGCGAGACGTGACGGAGGAGCGTTTGAGCGGTCAGCACGCACCGAAACGATAACCACCAACAACACGACCACAGCAGCCTTTAAAGTTCTTAAAAGCAGAGACGCAGGAAACAAATGCTTTTTCTAATGTTCACCATTTTAGCTGATCTAGATTACGACCTCCAAATCCAGTGTTTGCTCGGAGGGCTTTCTCAGTGGTCAGACCATCCTGCAGCATTTGTCTTTCAGCAGCTGGCGAGTCTCTGTTCTGGGTTAAATCTAGATGTCAGAATAGAAGCAGTGATCCCTCGTTCAGTATTTCCGTTTGTTTTTTTTTTTTTTTTTTTTTTTTTTTTTTTTTTTTGCCTGTCCCGTTTGGCTCTTTTGCCATCAGAATTGTTGTCTAAAGGCAAAGAAAGATGCCCAACGGATTTACTTTACCAAATTGACCATCGC